AAGTGTAAAATGCTACTACAAGATTGGGTTGATCCAGCGCCCAGTCTCACTCTCACTGGGGAAGTAGTAGAGGATGTGGACAAATTTTGCTATCTGGGTAGCTATATCTCACCCGGCGGACGCATCATGGATGAAGTGTCGGCGCGCATACAGAAAGCTCGGTTGGTATTTGCCAACTTGAGACATCTGTGGCACCGTCGCGACATCCGGCTGTCTGTGTGAAGGGTCGAGTATATGCTGCAGCAGTTCGACCAGTTCTGCTATATGGAGCAGAAACTTGGTCAATAAGAAAATAGGACAAAGATAGACTGTCGGTGTTTGAACATTGCTGTCTACACAGCATTGCACGATTCTAGTGGGGCAGCCGGACGAGCAATACTGAGTTCAGGCGCAGAGTTTTAGGTATCCGCGGTCGCCCACCGGAGCAAGTGGTAGATCTCCATGGATTACGTTGGTTGGGGCACGTGTTACGCATGTCACCAAATAGGTTGCCACGGCGAACGATGTTTACCGGGGCAGGTAGTGGTTCGAATAAAGCCGAGGGTGGCCAAGTTGGCTTGAGGGTACGAAAACCCTAACCAGATGTTTGGGTCACTTAGGTCCCGTTAGGCCCCCTGGCTGGGGACCTCGGGATGGTCGTAACCGATGATTAGAGACACTGAGTGATATGGCTGGGTGTCGTAAACAGTGGCGCTCGTGCATCCACTCGTTATTCTCCTAACACCACTCCATATGAATTCGCCACCTTCCTCTTGAATTTGCTTCGACATTCCAATCTACATTTTGCTATTTTATTTTTTAATTTCCGTTTCTTTTCCATTGTAATTGTTTTTTTACATATATATTTTCCCCCCTTACCCCAAACTGTGTACTTTTAACTGAAATGTAGGCTTCATGCCTGCAGAAGTTATCACAATACAATAAAATACAAGATGGGCAACGACAAGACAGCAACTAAAACCGGCGCACGAAAGTGCATGGTCAATGGTTGTAAAAACTGAACTGAACTTGGAAAGTGTTGCCAACAGCATGGGACTAGATCCCGTTAGAATTGGATTAGCGGAACATAGTGTAAGAAACACATTCACTTTTGTGAACAGCATGCGTGACTTAAACTTGATGAGTCGAACAATACTCTCACTGCACGCTAGTTCGTTCTTCACTAATGTTCCAATCAGCGAAACCGTCGAATACCTGTGTAGTTATGTTCAAAATAACAATGCTGAGGTATGCCTTCCTTTGGAAGACCTAAAACAGCTGTTTTATTTTTGCACACACAACGTCCAATTTAAGTACAACGAATAGATTTATCAACAAAACGATGGTGTGGCCATGGGATCACCGCTTGCACCGTTGTTTGCCGATTTGTTCCTCGAATCAACGCTAAACTTTGCTGTCTACACTCCAATTCTCGGAGCCTACATTGCTGGTTCCAGTTATTCTACGGCACATATATTATATTTCACATTGGATCTTTCTGTAACCCTTTTGATTGTCTTGCTCAGGGAGTTTACCATTCTTACCATAGACCAGAAGCAATGCAGAGACTTGGCTACTACGGGAACATGATAAAAATAGATTGTCGGTGTTTGAATACCGGGTATCGCAAACAGTTGCGCTCATGCATCTACTCATTATTCTTGCAACATCAGTCTATATAAATTCTCTATCTTCCGCTTGAATTTGCTCTCAACACTCTAATCTTTATTCTGCTCTCTTATCCAAATGGGCGGCCAAAAGACAGCAACCAAAACCGGTGCACGAAATCGCATGGTTAATGGTTGTAAAAACTGAAACTGAAATGCATTATAAAAATACGACAGGTTCAGTTCAGTTTTGTACAACCATCAGCCATGCACTTTCGCACGCCGGTTTTGATTGCAGTCTTTCGTCTGCCCATTTGGATGAACAGTATGGGAAAGAGACGAAAGTTGAAAGTACAGCAGGAGAGAAAATGGAAAATTTCATTGAACTAATGTTGCAAAGAAATTGAGAAGATGCACGAACTCCACCGTTTACGACACCCAGCCATATTGCTTATTGTCTCTAACCTCCGATTACTATCATCCGGAGGTCCCCATCCAGGGAGCCTAACGGTAACTTTTTGACCGAGTCTCTAGTTTAGGGCTTTTATACCCTCGTGTTAGGTCTTATTTTGACCACCCTTGGTTTTTTTTTGAAGGGCGACTGCGAGTGTCTAAAACTTTGCACCTTCCCTTGCTTTTCCGATTGCCCCATCGGATTCCTGCAGTGCTGCGTAGACAGCGATGTTCAAACACCGGCAGTCTATCTTTATCCTGTTTTCTTAATAGCCAAGTTTCTGTACCGTGTGGCAGAACTGGTCGAACTACCGCAGCATACACTCGACCCTTTACGGACAGCCGGATGTCGCGGGGGTGCCATAGGTGCCTCAAGTTGGCAAATGCCAACCGACACTTCATCCGTGATGCGTTCACCGGGTGAGATATAGCTGCCCAAATAACAAAACCTGTCCATTTGGTCTGTTACTTTCCCAGCTAGAATGAGACTGGATGCTGCATCAACCCAGTCTTGTGGCAACATTTTACATTTTGAAGGTGCAAAATGCATACGAATACGCCATGTAAATGGGATTGTTGCACAACTTTGAGTTCAGTTGCATTTTTAATTTATGTTCTGGAGGAAAAGAAGATTTGTCATCAATCAATTTCTTATGTCTTTCATCATCATCATCGGATTGATATTTCGAGTGCTCACTTCTTGTCATTTCCTAATAAAATGCATTCAACATCATTTTTGTGAGAAACACCTTTCCTTCCAATTCCCTCCTGTCGTAGTTTTGAAACTGAGGCTCAACGTGAGGCTCCCGTGATCCAAACCACAACGACAACAACACCTGGTGTTGTACCCGATCCCAGTGAAGCTGACGGTTGGGTCAATGTGCGTCAAGTACTGAGCTTTGACCTCGGTTCTCATCCTCATTTCCAACCTCAGATGGCCTATGTGTTGCGTGTTCGTCGAGGACGCCAGCAGACTCCACGGAATCCACCAACACTTAGCATTTCCGAGTGGATGGAATTCGCCTTTCGCGGTGCTGACAATACTGGTAATGTAGTTCATTTTATACAACCAATAGACTTGCACTTTAGGACCACGTTCTTCGTTCCTGTTTTTCGGCTTCTTATTTGATCGAACATTAAAGGAATAGACGGAAGTAGAAAGCTGGCAGAAGCACCAAGGCGAAGATATATAATTCAGACAGACTAAGTTTGCGGAGAAATTGAATGGGTGCACGACCACCATTAGTAACCATACTCAGCCGTATGATTCATTGTCTCTAACTCTCTGTTAGACGGATCGCTAGGTCCCCAAACGGTAAGCCTAACGTGACCTTTGCCATTCAGCCCTCTGGTTAGTGCTTCCATACCTCATTGTTAAGTGTTCGTTTAACCACCCTTACAATTTTCTCACCCACTGACTTCTGCGGTAAACATTGCACCGGTTGCGCATGCCCTATAGAGGTTGATCATGTGCTCTAGTGGGCTACGGCGATTGCCTTAAGCTCTTCTTCTAGCCCAGGCGATCCTTGTCTGTGTGATCTGCCCTAATCGTTATATATGGCGTAGACATCAAACACCGATAATTTCTGTTTATCTCGTAACGACCAAGCCGCTGTGCCATATAATAGTGCCGGTTGAACTTCTGCAGTACACTCTCGACTCTCTACAGACAGTTGGATGTCGTGACAATACCAGACTTGTCTCAAGTTTACAACCGTCAAGCTTCCTATTTGCGAGTCGAAGCTTCGTCCGTGAGTTGTCTGCCAGATGTGTTGAGGCTGATGGAGTGAATTTTGCATCTAGTCCAAATCAGTCCTGTAACAACGTTTGGCATTTTGAAGATGCGCTGCGCATAGACTAACAATCAAACCTTCCAGAAAAGTTCCCAACATACCTGGATCCCCACTCAGCAGTACAACGTCTGCGTAGTGGTTTAGTTGCTGTCACCGGCGTGCTTTGGACCCTGTGGTCCGAGGTTCGAGCCCCGTCACCGCTACCGCCACCCAACTTTGGCGGTGGATAGCTTTGCTGTCGCCCGGTTCTATACCACGCATGACCTATCGGAGCCTTATGTGGTTCACCACTCCAAGTCTCGGGGTCTAGGGTACCGGTTACCATCACTGAACGTCATGTCCTAATGACTGTGGGGTCCGTCTCCTCTGCTGTTCATCACACACTGGTGTGTAATAAAAAAAAGACAAACTGCTGCCTGATTGCACATCGATAGTGTTGTTCTTATGCAAGGAAAAAGCAGCTTCAAGAATCATACCGAATGCAAAGTTGAAAAGAAGAGAAGGAACGGTACTATCCTAACGAACACTGTACTCCAGTGCTGAAAATTACGCTGGGGTCAGTGTTGTGTTCGGTCTAGATGTACAATTGATACGAGCGACGCACGCTTAACCTCGGACACTAACGTGGAGAGAGAACACGAATGGAGATAACAGTCAGCGTGTATTCAATTATTAGGTTTCAGTGCTAAATTATATAGGGTAAATTAGACCTACGAGAACGGCGCAGTGATGCACCAATCAGATTGCATCCTTGACGTTTCGATTGCTTGATCGAATAACCACTGGCTGCCCTGTTCTGCAATCCTCCAATCCGGGCTGCCTGGAGTGTCTCGATCATGTGTGTGGCCTGACGCGGAGGCGTGCGCGACCTGACGGGTTGTTTAAGCTCCGTCCCAGCAGTTAACAAATGACATGAAGAAGGGGAGTGAGTAAATGTATCGTAAGATTGGTCGGTGTAAATATCTCTCGCCTTGCAGGCTATGGTCCGAAAGACTAACTGTCGGTGTGAAACACTAGAGAACATGACAGTAAACTCATAGCAATTGCATCCTGATTATCAATTCTTATTCGGTCAGAATACTTGAAAATTTGTGTCCAGTGTTAGACTATGTACCTTCTTTTACTCCCTCAAGACAATCCCGCTCTTTGTCCACCTTACACATCAATGCTTTGTGTGTATTGTGCGTTCGGCAGTGACCCGCGAGGTTCGCTCCATTATGGTGACGGTAGTGCTCTTCGTTATCATAGCTTGTTTATTTACCTTGAATGCTCGCACCGGTTCCCCCGGTTTGCACATGGGTTATGAATACCGTCACTTTTTGTTCTCCGCTCACGTCGTTTCTCAAATAAGCTAAGTTTGCACGTGTGAAAATACACGCAGTAGTATGGCAACGTTAGTGGCCAAGTGGTTAGGTCACCCAATCGTGATCCGGAAGTCCCGGGTTTGAATCGCTCCACCACCGCCCGTTTTCCCTATTTCGGTGTTTCCCCATCCACCCTCTTTATGGCCGCAGCCCTCTTCCTCAAAGTTGACTGTATATCTGTATATTCAATAACTAAAAAAGGAAGTAAAAAGCCATTTGTTTGTTTGAATAGTATAAGCGATAAGCCCCACGGTTATAATGACCCAATGTTGCTTTATATGGGGAGGGGGCTGCCTACCACCACAGTTGACTAAAGGTGACAGTACCTGGACCACACCGATGACAGCATCTTTAGCTATTCAAACTCTTTCATTTGTATACCCATAACTTTTTAATGAGATTTCATAGTGCTTCGTCTCTCTGGCATCTTTGCCTATTGCATTTTATTATTTGACTCAATCTGATTTCTTGTTCTCATTCCTTTTTAGTATTGAATTTCGTAAGAACTCATGACGTGGCACATGTACCGATGATTGTTCAGCGTAAGTCATCAAGCTCACTACTTTTATTTGTTTCAAAATTGAGAGACAATAGGTCATTCAGTGTGTATAACAAAGTAAGAATAACTGTTTTCTCTAATAAACACGTTAAGAATCAGATAACAATACCGGGAGATATTTGATATCCCTTCATTCACAAGCTAATCCATATTTTTCTTCTCCCGGTCTGGGTTTACTGATATTTTTCATCTATCATTGATCCCGAAGTCCCATAATAAAACCCGGATTTAAGGCGTGAATTTATTCTTTGTGGTGATAAGGGCTCAAGCTTTTCACTCAATCCTGGGTGCATAACAACAGTGGATAAACGAGATGATGTTTTCTTGCCGTTTAATTGTATTTTATATCTCTCAGAATTTCTAGTTACTATGCCTCAAATACTCAAAAACGACTGATTGATTTTAGTGCTACTATGGGCCTTTTCCTTCCTCCATATTACTCCATAAATAGGTCACTATGCTATCTAAAACCTTTTGAAACTTGAGTGAATATTACTCAACGTAATAGACCATGAATGATGAATACTCATTCATTGAAAACGATATAGATTAATCATCCAAGCATTAAATTGATTGCGCCGAGCGTAATCACTTACCAATTTTTGTCATTACTAAACCCGAGTTGATCAGACGCCATTACTGTGAAATTTACCCCACACAGAAGGATCGGTTGTCGGTCACAACGTAACACTGCGTATTGTACCGTCTTTTTGATAAGTGTACCCCACGTTGACAAGATCACATCTGGGTTTGAGTCTTCAATGAAAGATGTAGTCTTCGGCATCATCAGGCAACTTACAGTTCCTCAAGTTGACAACCCTGTAGACCGATTGCCGGGTACTGTTGATGATGAACATAAATGTATATCTGTCACTCACAGGTGCTACGCATTTGAAAGAAATGAGTTACTCGAGCTTCACTGTGAAATTTTCTTAATGCATTAGTTTATTCTTGTTGATATCTTACTCGTCCATGATTTAGAATCGTTCTATCTCTAATTTGGCTCAGACCAAATTCGTAATCACTTCTGTCTCACGAATAAATATCTGTTTTGCTATTGTCTGCCTTTCCCCGTTGCATTCTTATGTAGTTTTTCTCTCTAATCTCTTATTTTGAATTCACAGTTTCTCAGTTTCCCATTCAGTTCCCGCCGACACTTCCCGCGACCGCTTCACATCCATTTATGGATGTCTTAACAGCGCCGACTCGCTCCCAAGCACCACATAGACGTCCATCTGATCCTAGTGAACTCGTTCCTCCGGACCTGACTGCTGCCTCAACTAACACTGATGACCCGTGTGCTGCACGACCATGGAGATATAGACTCTCTGGAACGACCACAAGGAAATCCAGTGCAGTAGTTGTGGCTACGGTCACATGTGGCAATGTAAGCTCACCAGTTGGAGCAACCACAACCACCGTCACGACCGCCACTTCTTCTCACGCAGACTTACTATCAGATGCTGCCGTGGGACAGAATAATATGTCCGTTGCAACCGCACCAAGTCACGTGGACTCGGCACATGTTCAATCCGTTCCGGTACGATCTAACCCGCTGAGGCCACCAACGGATGCCGAGATTCTGTTTGTCTTACCTTCGATTTCCTTACGAATCACATCAGACCAACGGCAAACAATGGCTCAGCCTAGTCTATCTACTGTTCCGTTTATTCAAGTGTCGGTCACCACAGGAGCCGGTGAAACACAAGAACCAGCCGAATCCGAGCCATCTCACTCAGAACCGCCCACCGCTAGCGGTTCAGGCACCGAATCCGTATCTAAAAGCTCAAGACTATGGATTTACGGTAGTCGTGATCCGTCTGCCACTAGAGGCTCCGGTTCAGGGAATCAAGCAAACACGCCATCCGCCACGTCTCATTCGTTTGCACCCTCGGTAAAAATTAGCTTTCAGACTGATTTCCACGGTTTTGTGCAATTGGGCCTGATTGATGTCCCCTGGTTGCCGACATTGATCAATTCCTATTTGAACGAGCGACTTCAAGAATATGAATGTAAGTCCTTTGCTAGCATGACAATAGTCTGTCGCTCTTAGTATTCTTCTCTCCAAGCATAAATATCACTGATGTATGTTCAGATCGTGTGCAACAAGGAGGGCTCTTCAATAATGAGTTGATAACTATGGGGTAGAAAAATCGAAAGCGGACTATGGTCTAGTTTGTTTATGTATGCAGTGCGTAGGTGTTTTTTATTTTTTGAGAAGACTGTTGTGACTCATCAACTGACCTTTCGAAGAGCCTCACCACAGAATCATGCCCTTAAGGATTTCCTACCAGAAATATTCAGGATGATTTTCCACCCTGATATCTCTTAGATCCATTTTGGTGATGCCAGAGCACGCGGTAAGCTTTCCCCTGGGTAACTGATTTTTCCGCACCAAAAAGCCGCAGTTTTCCCGTTGGAAGTAGCAGGTTATATGCAAATCTTCCTCACCACCAAAGAATCCAACTGAAATCGCTCTTTCACCATAGAGAGAGAATTTGGCTGTGCAAGGGCTAGTTGTCTGTACCATGCACCTAACTTTATTCAGTGATTCATCGAATAAGCCTCATCTGGAAGAATGTCGCTCAAAATAAGTGCCTGAGCTATTGGTGGGATTCTAATGAGATAGCAGTATCGAGGAGGGATGGATTACCATGAAAAACACCCCATGTACTACCTGATTTTCTCATCCAGTGAGATTGTTTGGACATTGCTTATCAAACACAACTAACTGAACTTGTTCAGCCCTAAACTGGTCAGGTTTCACCTCCCATCAGCAATACTCCAACTGCCGTTTTTTTGAGATACCTTGATGTGTAGGGGTGATGTCAGATTTGCGCCAAAAGTATCGTGCTGGAGAATAGCACATGGACCTTTCCGACTGTTCTAGACGTTTCACCTACCCATAAGCCAGATGCGGTATAGCTTGACTAAGACATCAACAATGCCTGCTTTCTTTCACTGTCTAACATGAGTTCATATACGGAATCCTAACAACCTATACGTTGAAAACCCGAAGCAGATTACAGTAGCGATCGGCTTTCGCACCTCAGTTGAATTTATTGCCGGATATGATTACTCGATGTGTGTGCAAACTGTGCATCTGCTCTACTGGTGTTGCCTGTGTTAGATTGAACTGAGATCACAGAGTTAATTCATGGAAATCTAGCGTATCTTCTTACATTTTGAGAGGTTGATACAAACTCGTTCTTGTTTTTCGGGTTGACTGGTGACATTTCAGCCCTCTTACAATTCCAGTCTGGTGAACTAAATGCTCTATGCACCCCGAATGGTGAATTTTCATGTTCTACAAATTCATCCCCAGACAAATAAATAATTAGGTAAGTAGATTTATGATTGGTCGGAAGTCCCAGGTCGCGGTATGTTGATCATTGCAGCATACTTTTCAGATCGGATTCGGTTTTTTCATAGTTGCCGAGAAAGCGAGTAAATTGTTTATCAACGTCTCCCTTGATGTCTGCAACCGATTTATCATATAATATTGTTGATATTCAAACCATGTGCAAATAATTTCATACAGTGAAATACGATTGATTGATTTTTGTGTAGAGTATCTTTTTCATGAATTTTAAATTGTAGTTTAGAAATAGAGTGATCGTCAGTTGTGTCGACAGATTCACACTACTGATAAGACCCAACAAGGCTACACAGTACTTTATGGTGCTCTAGTACACATTTTCCCTTGCCTAATACACAATAAACCTCACCGCATACTTGTAAGAAGTATCGTTTTTACGCAACTTTGTGTCACGACAATTTTGTAACACACCAGAATCTTCCGATACTGTCTTTGTGGTGGATCATATTCCTAGAACAAATAATATGTAGGTTTTTTATAATACATGTTTTCTGATTCATGCGCGCTTTCTGTTTTAATTGCTACCTCTCCCTTGTTTCTATTCTCGTACAAGTTTCATCAATGGCCTCCGCAAGCAATCAAAGTACCAATGATATCCACAGGACATTCGGAATGAGTCATGTGTCTAACGCTGTCGGTACCGAACTCACCGCGCGACTAAGACAGCTTGCTGGAACTAGTTCACCTTTGGTTCTAGACGCCCGCTCTTATGAGATTGTGCATTGGTCACTCAGTCCGGAATGCCGTTGGTTACTCGCAACGAGTATTGGTGTGCCCGCTTTTGACCGTCTGCTGGAGAGCATTGGTTTCCGCAAGGCCCGCATCACTATACCCAAGTGGCTCCAGCGTGGCGTTATGGATCATTTAGATCACGTGACGTCAATTCTTTTACGCGCAAGTCTTCGTCTCATCACGGACGAATTCCGTGCCAGAGATCAGCGATCTGACGATCCTCGAATTAATACCGATAGACAGCCTACTGCGGATTCGAACTCTGGTGCGGTGGCCATAAAAGCTCATGAAATTGCGCCGGCCGTCAAGTCGAAGTTATCAATTTCACGTCCTTCTTTTACTTTGGCCACAGATGATGATTAAACATGACCTAAGCATCAAGAGCCCAACTTTTTGACCAATCAGTTTTGTTTGACTACAATCACTTTCAATCCCGCTGTAGAACAGTGTACAAAGTCCACTCTATGATGATCGATTTTTGTTTTGTTGTCATGGCACTTTCCCTCCGATTGAAACTTTGTCTAATTTATCCGTATCTCTTGTATAGATAACCTTACATTCAATACACGCACATCTGAGCCACATGTGTTTTCTCTGGCGCAATGGGTTGGACTCACCTGTTTGCCGATTGTTATGGTGCTCTAAACAACCCACCGGGAAGTCCAGTCTGATTCATACTGTCTTTCCTGTCCTGCTGTTTTACCACTGTGAATGAGGTGTCTTTATTTAAGACTGGTGGTGTGTGTGTGTTGATCTGTTCGCCTTTCTCATTTTGGGCGAATTTGGACTGCTCTGGTAGCAATTTGTGCGAAATAAACATAATGGTTCTACCCATCCTGTGCACATACGTTCCCCTCCTCTCACGTGCAATCGTTCTTCCTATTGACAACTTATTTTTATTACCTCTCTCACCTGGCACCGTTATTCCTGCATAATTTCATCTACAGTTTGTCTGGTGTTTCATGAACACTCCTAGATTGATTGCAAGTCTTTTCCCGAGCCTTACCTCATGCTTGATACCTGCCAACACGACTCCACCTGATGCAACTGCGTAATGCTACCCACATTTCGATTTCTGTTTCCCTCATTCCACGGTCAGAAAAGCAGAACGAAAACTGTATATTCCGTTTTCAGTCACACCTGTTGGCTAACTGAATGACAAAATTTCAATTTGCTTTTTGCGAAGAGGCTTGTTGAGAGTTTTCTCGTCCTTGGTTCTTATTTATCTTCTCTCAACCCCTGTTTCAATACCTGCCAGGCTCTTGTCATCCATTCCTGTCATATTAAAATCGTATTAAGAAAATGACTCTCATGAAGCACGTCTCTTTTTCTCTGCAATTTATATTGATTCACATAAGGCGAATAATTCGGCGCTTCGTACTGGTTCGCTAACCGTGTTTTCTCCATGACCCCGTATTCCATTTGATGTCGCTCGTTGTACTATCTGATCCCAACTGTCTTATACATTGATGGTCCTATTTTTCTCCGCCTGTGAGGCTCTTTCAGATTATCGTGAATCAAATCTTTTGCTCGAGTGATTGTCAAGCTTTTTCTTGTGCTCCAAGGATTCACTATCATCCATGCGACAGATGTCACACGTTTATGGTGGGCTTTCACAGCCCCCGATCACTCAATACGCGTATGCGAATTGCTCAGGCAAACGTGCATTGGTATCTAAATCCAACAGGACTTTATTCGTTCAAGCCTAAGGTGGATCTTTAAGCTCTTCTGTAATCTGAATTTCCCGTTGGCTAGATCTCAGTGAGCTATACAAAAGGGACCGGAAGACAAACGCCTGCTTTACTCAATAAAAGTTACGAAAATGCGGACATAAAAGAAAGATTGCACAACTTCAACGGGCGTAACCGACCAATCTGACGTTCACTCCGATGTTTTAAAGTTTGATTACTTGCCATGGCCTCGACCGCAACAAAACGATATGTGATGTTATCCACTCATCGTAACAATTTGGAAGAGGTTACATTTGTGTACGTTCTGTCTTTAGAACCTGTTTATTGTCCACCTGGTAGCCTCAAGAATGCCAATCTGTTTGTCAGGGGAAAGTAATATTACTCCCTCAAAACGCCGATACTTTTAACTGCTCTTCCCTCGATCGCATCTGTAATCAGAAAACTCAATGAGTGTGTGGTACCTTTGGAAGTGGCTAAATCCTGCTGGACGTGGTCTGAACACAAACAAAGGGGGAACACATCCTTAAAAGTAATATCAAGGCATTAATAGTCCCGATGAACTTTACGCTAAAAACGTTGAAGAGAGCAGTAGCAAACGGTTCGAGCAATTGCTGATGTCTACCATCCCCAAGCACATGTGCAGAACAGGCTGATCGAATATAGCCTCAACTCTTGACCATATCACGCTGCTGGCCTGGA